AACTGTGAAAGAGGGAGAAACGTTAGTTTGTTACATAATAGCATCGCCGCTCTTGGGCGACAGCTGGCGGCATAGATAATCTTACCGTCCTTTATATTAAGGCCTTTGACGTCACCTCTTAATATCCAGGGTTCCTGGATGAAGGCTACACCTAAGCCTTCGTTTGTGAACCTCCTATGTAAAACATCTGATGCTGCTTTCGCGTGGTGAAGGTTCACTTGGAGGCATTTAATGTGCCTCAGATTTGTGGAGTTTTTGGGGTGAGGTGCCATTACTTGCGGTCTTTTCGGCCGCGAGCAGCCACCTTCTTCCCCCTGTTGCCCTTCAGCAAGACCGCTTCTTCGGCCGTCCTTGCATCTCCCTTGCCTTTGCGGCTGGACATAGCCGCTTTGGAGCTGCCATGTAGTGGTGGCCGTTTTGCAGGCTTTGGGGATGCGATGGGTCCGACGCTTTTTTGGGCTTCTTCCAGCACCTGTTGTAGGGTCGGGCATGTTGTTGTTGTTGTTTTCGGAGGCGTTGTTGGAGCTTTGTGTGCTACGTGTAGCTCTGTGCCAACCTCCGATGACTTCTGCTGCACCTGCGTGTCATTGTGTAGCTGCCTGGGAGCTACGATGACGTCTTTGGAGCAGCAAGGCATCGGGCATCGACGGTTTAGCTTTCTCCCTAAGTTTTACTACGCCAAAGCCATAGTTTACCACGTTCCCGCGGTGCTTTAGCGTGTCCGCTGATAGCGGGTCAACTGCAATGGTGATTTCCGCCATTGTTGACCTGCGTACTCGATTCAGAACGCGCCAGTCCGGAATTCTCAGGCCGTCATTCTGTGCCTGAAGCAGACTGAGCGCATCCTCACTGGCAGAGCTGTCCAGCTCCGGGAAGAGTCCCACAAGAATGATGCGGCGAGGTGTTTCTGCCTCCTCGACCACTCTCATCTTCGCCCCCTTCCATGGTGCCAGCTTTGGAACAGTGTTCCGTATCCACCCCGCGGTCGCAGCATCCCTGCAACTGATGGATAGCCATCCCGAGTGGAAGGTGCAACCCTTGAAGATAGGCTTTACAGCGCTAACTGTGTTGCTCCTGACCGCCCTGAGGATGGCATTTTGGATAGCTTTGAGCTCATCCGTTGACCACACTGTGGTTGGATAGTCCTCTGGGACTAAACCCAGCTTCACTCCGTACAGTGCATCCCTAAATGAAACTGGCTCCCCGCGACAATCTGCAGGTGCATGCGGCACAGTTGCCTCACCGGTGGGCACAGATGCAGTCCCAGCTGGCCTGCCCCCTGCAGATCCCTCACTAGATTTGGCAAATTTCTTCGGGGATCGCCTCTGCGGGGTAGAGCTTTCAGACCTAGGTCATTTTTGGAGAGTTTTTTTCCCCTCCGTGGTGGGCCAACGGGTTCTTTGGCTTTTCTCTAGCCTGCTCATAGTTCAGTCCCTTTTCTATGTACCGCTTGAGACGTTTCCGACCGGCTCCGCTAAGCCGCTCCCGCTCTCGAGCTTGGTGAGATGGGTTGTTCACCGGAGAGGCAAGCAACTTCTGCTCATCCTCCGGCGAGATATCAGATAGCGTTCTGACGGGACTTGCATCCTGTCTCACGCTAGTATCCACCATCTCTACGTCATACGTGGGACTATGCGCCCCCAGTAGTTCTGTAGCGATGGTTTCTGTTTCGACAGAAGTCGAAAGGCCAGCATTGGCCATTGTTTGGAGCTGTGCAGCTCCTTCTGGCTTTTGATTTATGTTGTTGTTACTATCCATGTGTGTCCCACGAGTAGATATAGATATAGATATAGATATAGATATAGATATAGATATAGATATAGATATAGATATAGATATAGATATAGATATGATATAGATATAGATATAGATATAGATATAGATATAGATATAGATATAGATATAGATATAGATATAGATATAGATATAGATATAGATATAGATATAGATATAGATATAGATATAGATATAGATATAGATATAGATATAGATATAGATATTGATATACGGTAACTCAAACAAATGACCACGTGTTGATTTTCTTCAAATATTCGTAAAGTTTTTCGAGCTAAGTTCAACGATTTTTCACTAAAATTTAATTTTTACGGCTAAAAAATCGCGTTGATTTTGAGAATTTTTTTGCTGACTGATTTTTGCTTTTTTTCATATATGTAAGTATGAATTTCTTATGAAATAAAACGCGTGAGACCTTCAGCAACAATATTTTGAAATATCAACGCAAGTTTTTGTAAATTTCGCTTGTTATATTAAAAAACCCTAAAAAGTAGCCTCCAAAAAAAATTCTCAAAAATCAAGTAAATTTTTAAGCCGTTTGAAAGTTGCACTTTATTTAACTAAAAGTGTGTGGCCTATAAAACTGCATACCCAAAAATTTTCAAAAAATTCAGAATAAAAAGCGGAAATTTTGATTAAAATTTGTTTAATTTTCCTAAATTTTGTATAAAGTTTGAAGCTGTGATTTACATGGTTTTAGTTAAAGTGTAGACGATATTTTTTAAGAAAAACAACAACAAAAAATTAGCTCGAAAAACATTACGAATACTTGAAGAAAATCAACACGTGGTCATTTGTTTGAGTCACTGTAGATATACGATTTTTTAGTCCAAATATTCTTTATTAATTAGTTAACAAATGTTCTAAATATGAGTAAAAAAAACCGGAACTAAATGCAGTTTTTATGGACATCCAGACCCCAGCGCCACCTAGCTATAAAATTTTTAGTCGGATATCTAGATAGATATAGATGTATGTATATATGAATGCATAATTCGAGAAAGATTTTTTGTCATACCTTTGAAGTTTACCTTCTATGTAGTATGCAATACTAAGAAATGGCCGCTGAAGGCAAAATTCTTTGCCCGGTAGTAAAAACATATAAATCAGTTTCAATCTTTATACAAAATTCGGGAAAATTTAATAAAATTTCACTTTTTTTATCTGAATTTTTACAACATTTTTGGGAAGGCTGGCAACTGTGATTTATTGGTTTTTTTTTAAGCTTTAAAAATTAGCTCGAGAAACATTACGAATATTTAAAAAAATCAACACGTGGTCATTTGTTTGAGTCACGTATAACTGCGTACTTAGTTTTTCTCTCTGACGTCAGGATTTTTTAAAGACTTTGGAATTTAAAAAATATGATTATTTCAAAAAATTAAACTGGGAATCAAACATAATAATAATAATACCAGCAGTTTTACCTTCTTTTCCCGCCCATCCGCACGAAAGGCATAGTCCGCATGACGTACGTAACCATTATTTTGAATTTTTTGCTCTGAGTCACGAAAGCCAAGAGTTTGTTAAGTGCCGAGATCTAAATTGTTTAGCAACAGAACTAAATTCATCAGCTGACTTTATGTCTTTATGTTAGTAATTCATTTATGGAGAAGGCATAGTATCGCTTTCTTAATGCTGACAGGCGGATCTGATATATCAAACGTGCTGGAATGAGAGTTAAAATTCTGTTACTGTTAATTCTGTTAGTTTTACGAGTTTTCAAAAATAAGGGACAAAAGTGTCTTGATACATGAAAGGGAACATTAAGGCTACCTTCATCCAGAAGAAGCGGACTTGAAATTGAGCCTGTCAGTAATTTAACCATAAAAATTATACCTAGCATTTCCCTGCAACTGACAAGTGTAGGAAGATTAATAAGTATNCGGACTTGAAATTGAGCCTGTCAGTAATTTAACCATAAAAATTATACCTGGCATTTCCCTGCAACTGACAAGTGTAGGAAGATTAATAAGTATTAATCGGCTCTTATAAGGTGGAAGGTTATATTGAGAATCCCAACGGAAATTTCTTAAAGCAAAAAGTAGGAATTGTTTTTGAATTGATTCTATCTTGTCTGAGTAAATTTGATACCTTGGATTCCAAACCATCGATCCGTATTCCAGAATCGGTCTAACTAATGTTGTAAACAGAGTTTTAGTGATATAAGGGTCACTAAATTCTTTTGACCATTGTTTCACAAATGCATGTACACCTTTAACCTTGTTGGATGTCACATTAATGTAAAGATTAAAATTAAGTTTAGGATCCATTGTGATACCAAGGTCCAAAAAATTGAATACCTGTTCAAAGTTATGGTTATCTATTGTTTAAGAAATTGGCTGGACAGCTCTTCCCGAAAAGCACATTACTTTACATTTTTCCAGATTTAGAGGCATACTATTTACATTACACCAGTTAGTTATGCTGTTTAAGTCTGCTTGCAGCAAAGGCTTTCCTTGAATTGATACGTATGATTTATAAAGTTTCCTACCTGTGTTTGATATTCTGGTAAAAATATTTTTGCTTCTGTAAAATAACAAAATTATTGGTTACGGAGTCTGTGAATTCAAAAAATGGAAGAGGTTATATAATTCTTTTTATACGAAAGATGGTACCTCGGAGGTTTTCCCACACTAACTGGTTCTAGATCCGATTATTGGATCACGAAGAAATTAACGGTACTCTTAAATTTGTATAAGAGAATTGAAGTCGATTTTGTTTGCTTAAAAGTACTTGTTTGCTTAAAAAACTTGCACTTTGTACTTTTGTACTTATTGAAATGCTTCTTTTTACAATCTCATCTGGTACATTAAAATGTTTTTGGTTTCTTTTGTACAGAGTTAACGATCGTATAATATCGGTGAATGGAGTTTCTTTGGAAAATGTTGAGTATGCCACTGCGGTACAAGTGTTAAGGGATAGCGGCAACACAGTAACACTTGTTGTTAAACGACGCGTGCCTGTAAGTTCCGCAGCTCAAATCCGGCAGTCGCAGGCCATAAGTTCGATAGGAATAACAGCACCGAATTCGAGTGGAATACCCATTCATGGATCAAGCGTAATACCTGGAGCAATGAGTCAATCTAACTCTTTGAATGGTTCTCCTTTGCAAAGCAATGCAGCACAGCCAATTAAAGTGACTCTCTCGAAGGCAAATAAAAAGGATGATTATGGCATTGTTCTAGGATGTAGATTATTTATAAAAGAAATTTCGACGAAGGCGCGCGATCAACTAGCCGCAAACGGTTATTCCCTACAAGAAGGTGATGTGATCACAAGAATTCACAATTCAAATTGTGGAGACACAATGAGCTTAAAAGAGGCTAAAAAATTGATCGATGCCTGCAAAGAACGTTTGAACTTAGTTGTGTTGCGGGATATTACCAACCAGGCAGTAACTGCAATGACTAATCAATTGAACAACTCCACAACACCATCGAATGTATACATTAGTCACCAGGCACAAGTTTCGAATTGTAGTAATAATCTCGATGATCCATATTTAAATGGAGGAACGAATTATTCATCACAGAATCTGTATGTTCAACCGCCGACACGCTCTTTAGGACATGGAACATCGAATGGTTTAAACGACGAAAAAAGTAATCTAACACCAAGGGGTCGTTCTCGGGGACCCATTATGGATGCTGTTTCATTTTCACAACTTGATCGCCCTGTAACGCCTCCAAATGAGAGTCGTGCACGCACCGATGAGCCTCCGCGACCCCCACCTCCTCGAGGCAATGTTGGTAGAAGCGCGGACAGTTTTTATAGTTCCCGTCGACAAATTTACGAATCTGATCAGTTGTCGCAACCGAAGCAATCATCGGAGCCACGTTTCATATCGTTTCAAAAAGAGGGAAGTGTGGGAATACGATTAACTGGGGGAAACGAGTCTGGAATTTTTGTTACAGCCGTACAACCCGGCTCACCAGCATCTTTGCAAGGACTAACGCCTGGAGACAAGATTTTAAAAGTCAATGATATGGACATGCATGGCGTGACACGTGAAGAGGCAGTTCTTTTTCTTCTCAGCCTGCAAGATCGCATCGATTTGATTGTACAATATTGCAAAGAAGAGTATGACGAAGTGGTGACGAATCAACGTGGCGATTCTTTTCATATTAAAACTCATTTTCATTGTGAAAATCCCTCAAAAGGTGAGATGGCTTTCAAAGCCGGAGACGTATTTCGAGTGATTGACACGCTCCATAATGGCGTCGTCGGTTCGTGGCAAGTGCTTAAAATAGGACGAGGGCATCAGGAGATGCAGCGTGGTGTCATACCAAACAAATCACGAGCCGAAGAGTTGGCGACGGCACAATTTAATGCTAATAAAAAAGAAATGAGTTCTAACGAGTCCCGGGGAAATTTCTTCCGTAGAAGACGGTAAGCTTTTATTAAATTTTATTTCTATAGAATTTTAGAGTACCAAGATTCTCGAACAATAAACAATAAAGGCCTGCAAATGTTGAACTATAAAACATGCATGTCGTGAATAATAAACATCAGCTCGAAAGGCAGGTTTAACTTATGAAAGAAAATCCCAATACTTGGCATAATCTCTGAGCGCAAAATTGCAGAACCGTTGATAGTTTTAAAATATTTGAAATCGATTTGGCTCGAGTGCATTGCTGCAGCAGGTCTTATGTAGGGGACAGCAGATATACAAACGCCTCTTTAGACAGGCGGAACTTTTTAATAAATCTGTATTCGAAGGGCCACACTTAAACTCTCTTAAACGTTTTCTTCTTCTGGCCAGTTCCGTTAAGCTCTCATCCTCTGATGAATCGTAGCGCCATAACTCCGTTTTACTCATTTATTTATTTATTTATACTTCATTTTAATTTGCACAAATTTACATAAATATACCCAGCAAAAAATTGGTTATCGCTTTTAGTGGTAACGTGTTCTACAAGGCATAACGTTATAATGCATTGCCGGTAATGCAAAGTAGAATTGCCTACAATATTTTATTTATTTCGCTTCTTTGTTTCATTTCGGGGAATGCAAAGTAGAATGTCCTACAATGTTTTATTTGTTTCGCTTCTTTGCTTCATTTCAGGGAATGCAAAGTACAATGTCCTACAATATTTTATTTACTTCGCTTCTTTGATTCATTTCAGAGAATTCAAAGTAGAATGTCCTACAATATTTTTTTATTTCGCTTCTTTGCTTCATTTCGGGGAAGGCAAATTAGAATGCTGCATCGTAGTCAGCTGAAAAATAAAATGAGTATCGAAAAATTCTTTTTCTACCGTTACTTTTTGTGGAAATTTTTCTTGCATAAAAATCATGTTTTGCTTTGTTCAATTTGCAGCGAAATTGAAGTCAGTCAATGCAGTGAAGTACAAGAGTGAGGAAGTATAATTTTAAGCTTAATTAAATATGCATGTATGTACCTTCCGATTTTTAAGCAAAATCTCAATACATACATATGTATGTATAAAAACTTATTTATAAATATTTTAATTAAGTTTAATCTTTTAAGACATTTTCTGATTTCAATTTAGTATAAATAAGTATATACTTATATAGGCATTATACATTAGTTTCTCTGTAAGGCATCCTTTGTTCGCTTCTCTGGATTCGGTTTATCCATGCGTTCTCCCTTCGTTTGAAGGTAATGCTGCGGGCAAGGGCTTACCGCCAATGACATGCCCATGTTAAAATAAGGCCTACTTGAAGCGAAAGGGTAAGCGATTCCCATCGCATAGCTCGTTTCCACCTTTGTTTCTGTGGTAATCGTGTTTTTTGCTGGGTAAGCACACTAGTTAGTTTGCGCAATTTGCAAACAAAGTTTCTCAGGGGTCAAAAATATACTATTGTGAACGACCTAAGCGAGCGAAGTTCACAACAGCGCTATTCTTCATCGAATGAGCGTCATAATACCAAATGAAAATCGTTCGATCAGCACTTTCGACAACAGTCGAAGATCGAATACAATTCAAAATAGGGACCATTGTCGAATTAATTGAAATCAAATCATGCATAAAATCTATGCATGTCAACACAAGCAACAAGTGCGACACATGCGACATAGTCAGTATTATTATTAATTACATTTTGAGGAGTTTTTTTCAAATTTTGCAAGCTCCTAATATAGTAAAATTTATAACACAACTGTCTAATTAAAAATCTATATATATATTCATACAAGGCAGGATCAAACAGTATTAAAAATATGCTGCGGAAACACAACAGCGAACAAGAGCTTAGCTAAGAAGCAGTGACATGCTAAAACATGTTTGAGATGGAATGACATGGCATAATGGTCTGATTGTGCATACTTCGCATAATTTCGCACAACTTCGCATAAACTTCAAACTGTAATTTCGTATGTACATTGTATGTATTTCATTACCCAGAAATTAGCAGAACTTTTAAAAACTTAGCGATCTGCTGCGTTTAGATTTTGCTTCACATTTCCTTAAGTTACATTTTTATTACACTGGTACAAATAGTTGTGCGAAGTTATGCGAACTATGCATAATCAGACCTTAACACCTTGTTTGAGTTGACATTACATAGCAACGCATGAAATTTTTGTAAATGACATTTTTACAGAAAGTTTAGAATTTTGCAGAACTTCAATAAACAATAACAAATAACTTAAAATCATGTAACTTTCGCATACCAATCAATAGTGCACTTTTGAATAATGAGCTATTTTGAAGAATGTTATATTTTCTTGTATATTTCGACCTCATGACCTTCGGAGCTTCAGCTGTATTTTTTAATCACCTGCTTACAATCAATCTGTACATTATATTTATGTATGTACTTTCATCTTTGGTTTGTAGGTCTACTCACCGCCGTTCAAAGAGTCTTTCCAGGGAAAACTGGGATGACGTGGTTTTCGCTGATAGTATATCAAAATTCCCCGCGTATGAACGCGTACTTCTGCGTCATCCAGGGTTCGTGCGCCCTCTTGTACTCTTTGGTCCAGTCTCTGACTTGGCACGTGAAAGGCTTGCTAAAGATATTCCGGATAAGTTCTCAGTACCATTACAAGATGATGATAAGTCGAATTCCAAATGTCGGATAGTGCGATTATCAAATATAAGGGACATAATGGATCGCGGTAAACACGCTCTGTTAGACATAACGCCCAACGCAGTCGATCGTCTAAACTACGCGCAATTATATCCCATTGTCATATTCCTGAAGACTGACAGTAAACATGTCATAAAACAATTACGCCATGGGTTGCCAAAATCAGCACACAAAAGCTCTAAAAAATTATTAGAACAATGTCAAAAATTAGAACGTATCTGGTCACATATATTTAGCACACAAATAGTGCTGAGCGACGAAGAATCATGGTACCGAAAAATGCGGGATGCAATTGATCTACAACAAAGTGGAGCGGTGTGGATGTCCGAATCAAAGGTAAGAGGTTCTCCTGCTGACGTACAAATTATGTACATATATATCGTCGGATGAGTGAAAAATCGACCTATCTCGGCAGCCATCGAAAATGTCCTATTTCAGAATTTGATTGAAGAACGCCCTATTTCAAAGTTCGGTTCAAAAGCATCGTATCAGCAGCTGATTCAAAAACGCGCTATCTAAACATATTTTCAGTTGAAATAGGGTGTTTTTGAACCAAATTCTGAGATAGGGCGTTTATCAATCAAATTCTAAAATAGGGCGTTCTTCAACCAAATTCCTAATTAGGGTGTTCTTGAAAAGTTTTCTGGGATATGGCGTTTTCAAACCGGTAGCCTAGAAAGGGCGATATTCCACTCAGCCGTGGATATGTAGTTGTTTTTGAGTAGATTTTTTTTCGAATGAATAACAATCATATTCAAAAAAATTTTTATCAACTCGTTTTTCTGGCTAAAGATATTAAATCCAAATTTTATTTATGTAGGTCCGTTCCGGAAGTGGAGCGATCTGAAATCGGTATTATTTATAAAATTCTTTTTAAAGATTTTTTCTAGCGGTACTCCCTCAAACTGGTAAATTAGTTAGTATCCTCAAAACCTCGAAAGTCCCAAAACATCAATCAAACTCTTTGGTTATTGGACTTTAAATTATATATATTATAGAAATTTTCGTATGATCATGACCCGGTATTAAATAAAACTTCTATGTTTTATGTTTTGTTAATTTTCATTCGTGACATTACTGAACTTATTTTCAGAACCATACAAATACTAAACATAACTTACGGTTACACTTAAATTATATAAAAATGTATCGTTATAACTGGTCAACTAATTAAAAGTGCAATATTTAAGGAAACTTAGAAAAACACGTATTCATCTTTTTGTTCAGCACTGTAACCGCCTAAGCGTTGTTGGCAGATCGAACACTTCAAGGGCCACCTCATCAGATGTTGTCATTGTCCACACTTCTGCTACGTGGTAGGCACGATGAGTGACACTTGGTATGTTAATTGTTTCGCTTTTTGCGATCCCGGGATTTCCGAAATGTTATCACAATCCCGGGATCCCGGGATTAACATTCCCAGTCTTGTGACATAGGAAATTTACACTGAATGTGTCCGAGCGCCTCGCTCAGGAGATAAAAGCAACAATTATCGAAATGTATCACTTAAAGGCCAAGCAGAGGTGGAACCGTACAAGATTACCCGGCAATTCTGGGTGGCCTACGATCCACTTAAAACCAAAGCTCTCTTAGGAATGAGCAAAGAAGATATCTACAAACTTACTGCAGTATGCACAGGGCACTAGATTGCCCTTCAAAAGGTCCTGTCGTAGCTGCGATGACCCTGGCTCAAAAGAGACAGTCGAACACTATGCGAGTGTCCAGCCCTCGCAAGGATGAGGCTAAAAATACTCTGCAAGCTATTCCTGCAGTGTGTTTTAGAGTGTACTTACCTCTCTCTGTATGACGTACTGAAATTCATTAAAGCCGCCAAATGGCTCAAGGTTTAAGGAAAATGGCAAACTTTTTCGAACTATTAAACTGTCATTGTTTCTCTTTGCACAAGATTGTAAGTGACTGCCCAGCTAGCAAAATTGCCAGAAATCTGCTAGATATCCGTCAGACTCGTCGGCAAAAAAGTCAGAAATCTATGTGATTTTGGCCGATATCGGTCAGAGAAGCGTATGGAGAGGTTGACAGGAAGTCTAACCGACACGACGTGGAAAACTCTGACTTAATTACCGACGATTCTGACGGACATGTAACAGATGTCTGACCAAATAATCATGGAAAATAAGAATTGTCAGACGTATGCCCGAAATCGGACATAATTCGATCAAACATATCGGATAAGGAAATAAATAAAATTTTCCATACACTTCGCCCAAAAATCTATTCGAAACCTGTATGGCTTGTTCAAATAGTCATCTTATTCCGACTTGTCTGATATCAGAAATTGTCAGGCAAATGTGCCAGCTGGGCACTTGATTATAAACTAGTTATATACATAAATATGTATTGTATTTTGAAATTAATGGTTTTCTGGTCTGGTCTGGATTGTTTACGTTATTTTCTTGTTAAAGTGCCTGTCTTATTTATTTATGAACAAAATAAAAATAAAAATTTTGAAAAAAATGTCGCTTACGTTATTTTGGCGGTTAGTGCTCGATATTATGTGCGCATATTTTCGATTTTCAGTGTTTTTTTTTTTGTTTTAAAATCCATGAATTTTACCTCCTTTTTGGATAATTATATTCTGCATTCCAACCTCAATGCGCAGAATGGCCTTGTTAACTTGATAAAAAAAATACTGTATCAGAGATAGTCGCATCGCGGCTGTGTTTATAGCCGTAGAGACAACTATAAGGCCATGTGCAACGAAAGAAACGTGAAAACCGAAGAACTGGAGCTTACCGCTATAAATAAGCTTTATATACATATATTGTTATTAAAACTTTTAATATTTAATATTCATAAATGGGACTTTCGAATTTTTAAATTGGATAACGAGGGCGTTTTTCAGAGGAGAATGAAATTTTCGGACCTTTGTTATTTTTTAGCCGCGAAAATTATATTTTTATCTCGGCATACTCGGATGTCGATACATCGACTCCGTCGTCATTGACAGGTGGCTCTGCCGCTTTCAGTGCTGTTCCCATTCAGCAATGTGGAGCAATGTTGCCTCCATGATTTAAGTACATACCGATTGCTGAGTGGAAGATCGACCTATCTCGGCAGCCAGTTCGAAAACGCCCTATCTCAAAAACTTTTCAAGAACGCCCTATTTCAGAATTCGGTTCAAAAATGCCCTATCTTACTTCAAAATGTATTGAAAATGTGCTGATATAGGGTGTTTTTGGTTCGGCAGCTGTGATAGGGCGTTTTTGAAACGAATTCTGAAATAGGGCGTTCTTGAAAAGTTTTTGAGATAGGGCGTTTTCGAACTGGCTGCCGAGATAGGTCGATCTTCCACTCAGCAGTCGATATGCTGTGACCTCTAAAGACTGTTTGTTCTTACACTGTGGCTAGAAAAATTAAGGGGTTTTACTTTTTTAGCAACGTTTTTGTTGGGTTTTTAATCCGTAGTTTATTGAGCAGAACTTAACTTTTTGAGATTTTTCCATTAAGGTTGTAAACAATTTTGCAATTAAGGAATAGAAAATCGATGGCAATCTGTCTGCTTACCCTGCAACCGCAAATTGTGAATTAAATAAAAACATACTAACTACTAGGAATTTGCGATTAATCAACAAGGTGATTAATCGAAAACTGATTAATGAATTAATGCAAGAATTATAATTTTTGATTAATCAAAATAATTAATTTTCCGATGTTTTACATTTTGGTTAACCCGAAGCTGATTAATTTTATTAATCAGAAAACTGATTAATCTTATCGTGATTAATCATAAACCAGAAAAACTACTTGCATATTTTGTTTATTTAAAAATTGCAAAAAATATACATGCAAACATATCTATGTACATATCGATGGTAGAGCCAATTAAAGATTTTGTGTTTCGTAATTTAGCAATAATATGTCTTGGACCGTAAGTAGTTAAACGAAAATAACTCCACTGGTATTACTGAACAACGGCACAAAACGAAAAATGTCGTTATTTCCTATAAAATAATTATTAAGTGTCTTACTGAAAGTATGTAATGAATAAAAATGATCACTAACTTATCGACAGTTCTTGACTTTTGCCAATATTCACAATAAATGTGAGACTTGTGCCGCTGTTCAGTAGTAAGGAGTGCCTACTGCGGTTTTGTGACAAATGGCAAAACTGCGCCCCTGTCGGATTGGTAACAACTAGGCATATGTCCGTTGGTAGATATCGTAGCAAAGAACATAGAATTTGCAAAACTAGTCTACACATCTACCTCCCGGTAGTAATTAAATATTTAAGAACCGCATTATTATTACTACGCCTAAAAATATGGACTACGCTTCAGCGGAACCGCACGATACGAAATTTCTTTAAATGAAAATAATTGCTGCTATATATATGTATGTACATAAGAGTAATCTAACAATTTTTTTCTCGAGATAGGGTTTGTGGCACCTTCTAATATTTGTCCTCAGGCCGAAAGAGGTGCTGGTACCACACTTTACGTATAAGTTTGTAAGATGATCACGATACTCACATTTCACTCTAGAAGTATTGTGTACATATATTAATCAAACAATTGGTTAAGAAACCTAAGAACATTTCAATTTTAAATTCTCTAAAAAAATATCATCAGTTTCAGTTGTCATAGCAACAGTAGCTAAAAACTAAGGGGGTGCCCCGTTTCCTAGGATTACTTTTTTCCCCCCATATAAAAATTGGGCCACTCTAATGTACATAATGTATATTAGAGATGGTCGCGGGATAGCGGGACCCACGGTACTGATTTAAAATTGGCCGGGATGGGCGGTATCGGGAAGATATGTAAAAATATGACGGGCGGGACGGGACCAAAATCCTTTCTCGACACTCCCGATAAAACCGAACCCCCGCAAATTCACAAAATTTTCCTTAAAAACGATGTTTGAAATATGCACTTTTAATGTTTTATTCAGACGAAAAAGAAAAAAAAATTATAGGAAGATTATTTTTATTATTTAAAATTAATATGAAAGACATGAACATTTTTGTGAACCTTCGATCGGTTTGCAAACCTCGCCACACACGTTGAAATCTCTACCGCTCGTTTCAATTTGTTGTCCGTGTGTAGCCTGCTTTAGAGATAGATATCGGGACCCACGGGACCCGCGGTACAATTCTGAAAAATGTCGGGGTCGGGATTAAATATTTAGTCCCGTGCCCATCTCTAATGTATATACATTATTCATTATTGCAAAAACTGGATGAGCTACTCCGAAATCCGTGATTTATAAGACTGTTTGCTGTAGGTTCAGGTCCTTATATGAAAAAACATTGATCTTGCACAAGAAAGAAAAAAAGCCTCATGAAGAATAAGTCACTAAAGCGAATGGCGTACTCAGTT